ATGCCAAAGTTGGTGAAGATCCACCAACAGAAGGCAAAGTAGTGGTGAAAAAAAAAAACAACGCAAAGAAACACCCATAAAAACCGCAAACTGAAATTTTTTATGTATTTCCCCATGCACTTAATGAACCACCATACCAATTTTGGTGAAGATACATCCACACCCTGCGAAGTAATTACATGGACATACAACAAACAACAGAGAGTACTGTTACGTCTCTGGTCGTTTGTTATTTTCCTGTAAAAATTCCTTCCAAAAAATTTCAGCGATACAAGTCCTTTCTTAAATAAAACTAGTTTATTCTTTCTCAATACAACTTTGCAATACACTTAATTTCCACAATCAGTTTAACTTAAACACACGCTATAATTCACAACGAACGATTCACGCACTTTACCATGCTTGACTCAATTGTCCATCTCTATCTCTGCCTGTCTGCAATTCTATATCGATTCATTTTTTGGTGCACTTATATACAAGAATAGAGGGCGTCTAGCAAATACTGGATTATTCGTGATGTTCCCCAAATCTTTCTAGAACTCATTACGTGTTACCAGTGTCACGTGACTTCCGCTGTCGTAACACTGCCCCTTCCTTAGTATTGTTCATCCCAAACAATAGCCACTTACATTAAACCAACAGAAAATTAACAGTAACTTAATTAAAAGGACAGAATTTACAAACACAGAATTAAAATTCAACACAGTCTCTTAATTTTACGTATCTTCTTCCGTACTGGTCTCCGTCTCATTGGCTTCTGCTTCACGTGGAGTTTATCTGCTCCATTGGGAAATGTCCTATCATTGGTAACAGTCACATCAGTGGTAGTAACTTCATCAAGGGCTTCACTGTTTCGCTTCTCAAAACCGAGTAGAGTTTCTTCTTCAATAGTGGCTTTTCCAGGTGGCATGTCTTCAGCAGCGTATTTTGTTCCTGTTCTGTTGTTCACTTCATTTCAATTGAAATGTCCTGAACTGTGATAATGCCAAAGCCCGTTGGCATGCACCACCTTTGGCTTACCTCGCTGACCACATTTTATTTTGAAAGTCACGTCTAAGAGACGATCCACAACATCATATGGGCCTTCCCATGGAGAGGACAACTTAGGAGACTTCCCTTTGGTCTTCCTGGGATTATATAACCACA